TGGCTGGGGAATTCTGGGAGTTGGAGTCCACACATCTTAAAGCTGCCAAGGTTGAGCGATGCTGGAATATACTATAAAAGATGTAAGTACAGCAAGAAAAATATCTGAAAAAGATGCAACCTTTCATATATCTCAGGTGTATTCATCGGATGGAGAAAAAAGATGGACCCCAAAAGTGTAAGAGTAAAATTTGAGATAGTGGACAAGACAGAACGGTTGCTGCTCTCTAATGAGAATAAAGTCACCCACCCTAAGAACTGGAGGAGTGTATAAAATAATGTGCCAATGTCAGGGAAAGTTACTTTGGACAAATCGGGTGTTCCGTGAAATACGGAACCGAAGAACAGGAAAGCAACATTAGGCTTGAAAACAGTCAGTTGTAGCTGAACACCCATTGGAAGGGCCAGTTCCAGCTTCAGCATCCTGCAACAGATATTAATTATTTGTTTTCATTGGATATATATCTTGCCTTTCATGAGCTCAAGGTGGCATAGATAATGCTGCTTTCCTCCCATAACAACAACCTGTGCGGTTGGCTGGGCTGAGAGAAAATGATTGGCCCAAAGTCACCTGATGAATTTCTATGGCGCAGGAGAAGTAGAACAGAGGTCTCCCTGCTCCTGGTCCAAACGTCTTAATCGGTACACCATGCTGCATGTTGGGAGGACTGAGAGGGACCGGACCACAGTCATCTAGTGAGTTATTGTGGCTGAAGTAGGACTAGAACTGGGATATTCCTGGTGCCAGTCCAACACCTTCACCACTACACCATGCTGGCTCTGTAACATAAGTGATCCATTAATGTGATTCCAGGAATTCCCCCAGTAATGTCTGCACATCTGGAACAGCATAAATTGCACTTCATGTGAACCCCACCCAGTGCCAGTTCTACATATTTCCTCAGATGTATTAGGCAGTAGAGATTTGTAAGCATCCAAATAATAGGGAATTGGGTCGTTGACGGTCCTCCACATGGCGGCTGGTGAGTGGTTGTGGGCATATCTATCAAACCTAAGAAGCATCTGAAAAACCTGGTTTCTCCTGCCAGTTTGAGTTTCAGATCTGCTCAGAAGTAGGTAACAGCCATGCGTTCACTGAATTTACAGCGTTTCCCGTAGTCATTTCTCCAGTAAATCATGGTGAACAACAGCTATTCTCTGTGACTGATGCTCAGAAAAGTTCTGAATAGGCAGTTCCCATCACCCAAGTGGCTTCTTCCCAGAACAGTCCCTCTGGATCCCATCAACCTCTATAGAAAGAAGATTGGCTGGTCTTGCCTTCCACTCTGGGGCACTTCACTTTGCATTTACTCGCATGGAACCACGTTTGCCATTTCTCCAACTTGAAAAGAGCCTGTAGTACTTCATCTCTACGGGATTCTA